AATTAATATAATAATAATAACAATAATAAGTAACTGCCATCAACCTACCCTCTCATACGGACGAGCAAAATACGCCAATGTTTCATCCCACCAATTCTGTCCATCTTTTTCAGGTATGCGTAACTTGCGTGTTCGAGCACCCCATTGTGCCGAGTATCTACGAGTAACATCCTTTATATAACCATCTATCAAATATTCTTATATAAGTAATATTTTATCACCGTATGTATTGAATTTTTGACAACATTGTACCTTTTTCATAAGCAACAACATAAGCCATTATATTATCTTTTGCATTTGAAGGAGGTTCCATTGATTTCGGAGCATTAACACGAGCGCGAACCGGATCAACACATATCCATTTTTTTTGGGTCGCATAATATACTTCGCACCAAAAAATTGGAGCAGAATCAGGATCAAGTATAACTGTATTTTGGAAATAAAAAATATATATATAAATTGAACAAATTAAAAATAATAAACGGAAAAACCACTATTTATCGAAAATACATCTTTGAATACATACAGCAATTAGATGATTCTGCTCGTATATTTTTAGAGATGCTCTGAGACCTGCGAGAACGAACAGCAGGCCTCTTTTTAACAGTAGGATCATAATCATCATCTAAATTGGTTTTCTGTTTATTATCATTACTCTTAACTTTACGAGGCATTCTGAATTTTCCAATCCCAAGTATTCTTCGAACATTATCATCGTCACGTATATCTTTTTTCTCTGATCTTTCAGTAATTTCTTCAGTCTTTTTTTGACATGAATCATTCACACGTGTAATCTTGAATGAGACTGCTTGCAAAGAAAATACCAAACGAGCAGGAATTCCTAAAGACCTTAATAAAGCAACAAATAATTGTGCAGATGTATCACGACTCCCGCTTCCGTCTTGAAGACTTTTGCGAAAGGAATCGATAGAAGAATGATGTTCACAAAACGTTTCATCAATCTACAATATATAGGAGCAGCATTACATGTTGGACTCGCATGTAAATTTGCCTGCTCTTACTAATACATTATTATTATTATTATCCGATTTAACAATAAATGACCCAACCTTAAAAATATCATTAACTTTAAATTCAGGGTAATCCCTTGCATCCAATGCACGGAGTCCGGGTTTCGTGATTTTAAAATATGATTTCCACCACCTAACCAACTCTTCTAATGCTGTAATTAGTGTGAATCTACCTCTCGAGCATAGAACTTGATCAAAAAGAGCCAACATATCACGTGCAATTAATGAACATGCTATAGCCTAAATAATTAAATTATTAAACAAGCAAGTTACAAACTTAAAGATATTATACCGTAATAAACTTTAATACAACATAAATAATAAATACCTTTGTCAAGTCATCGTTGCACCATTGATTTCTAATTATACCGTGAGTAAGAAGTGTTAGCAAATGGGTTTTATGAATATTTTGCTGTATAGTTCTTTCTATTTTAGTGATTCCCTTGGGTCTATTACGGTTTAAAAAGAAAAAACATTTTAAGTCATAATTTCTTAAAGTTAACATTTTGATATCTAAAGAAATACTTTATCTTACTTGTATTCAATCTTTGGAGCCTTGAAGGTAATTTCAATTGTTTCGTTTGGAATTGAACTAACTTGCGAATCAGACAAATCTAAATAGGAAGTAATGAGTGAAAATAATGCGTTATTTATTCTTTTTTTACAAATTCACCATTGATCCTTTTAACAAATAACTCACTATTGTTATATTGTGACAAATCGACTTCCTCCCATTCATCACTATTATCGCTATTGTCTTCATCTTCATTTATACTAGGAGTATTAACTTGCTGTTCAGATTTTTTAAGTCGCAACCATTCGGTATCTATAGTTTCAAAAATACTCGTACTTCCATCAGAATGATGAACGATCTCTTTTGACTTTCCCTTATCAATAATTTTCGAGTTGGAAACAATATTTAATTCTTCATTAAAATCCTCAATTGATGACACTTCTTTTGGATTTGATGCCTCTTTAGGCTCAACTAAAAACTCTTGGATTATGTTTGATGTTTCTTTATTGCTCGTAACCTTGGTAGGAGCAATATCAGTAGTTTTATCGGTTACCTCATTTTTCTTTCTTCTTTTACGGGTAGTTTTTCTAACATTATCGGTTATTTGGTCATCACTTTCAGTATCCACTATGGATGGATGCACATTGGATTTTTCTTTAGCAGCAATACGTGCTGATCTACGAGGAGGCATTTTATTAAGTGATTATTAAGCCAAATTTTATGAAGTTCACATTTTATGCATTATATAGTAAAATTGGTTATATAATTACGTATTTATCTTGATACCTAAAATAGAAATTATGGAGTACATTCTCCAGCACAGATTTTTCGGAATAACAATATTAAAAAATTTACCTTAATTAACCTGGATTACACAATGAAATTAATGTATGCTTTCGACCTTAATTTGGATTAAGTTATATGCTCCATGTACGTAAGTTTAATTGTCAAGAGCGCAGTAGTCGCTCTATCGATATAAAATGACTTTTTATAGTAACACATGGATTACACACATCACATCTAGTGTTCTGTGCGGACCGAGTCATTTGTTAGGAAAATCACTCGCGATTTTCCTAGCAGATGACCAGATTCGGATTCGAATTCGATCCGAGAGCCGAATCAAATCTAAGATCCGAACTTGATTTGTGAGAAATCTTTTTTTGATAATGCCTTTGATTAAAAAGAGACGTGCGCCTGCTCATGCGCTGGGAGTTTTTTGTCTGCTAAAGTTTGAAACTGACTATATTTTTCACACGTGAAAACTGATTTTAATCTGTTTCATTATATGAACAAATAAGTCCGTTCCAAGGTTACTTGGGATTATTGAGTCAATATTTAGTTATATCTTTGATTCATTATGTTAATATATTTTGTGTTAGGTTGAATGTGAGGTACCAACTTTTATGTTTAAATTTATTAAATTCTTTTTGTTGACCAAGATTATTTGTGATATTTTTGTTAGGGTTGGCGTTAGTGATTTTCATATGATCGCTTAATATTTTTTCACATAAAAGTACGAATTCACATTGGTATGAATGAGTTTTGATATATTGTTATTAGAGTCAATACTTATATTTACTTATATTTTGTGATTAGAGTTTGGTTCTGGTTTTATTTTATTTTTTTTAAAACTAGTCAAAACAGATTTTAATGAATGAAGGATAAAATTGATTACAAACTTTAATTGCAATCGAATTTTATAGGTATATATTATAGACAATTTCTATTTGTACATGGGTGTATATACACGGCAATATAGAAACCAACTGATATCTCAAAATTTTGATTATGAAATCACCTTTTGGCTTATAATAAAAAATTCCTTGCGAAATTTTGATATAAACTATACCTCCCCAATCCCAAACCTAACCATAAGCAATAATTTAATTTTTCATTCGTAAATTTACATGTTACACAATTTGCAAACTACGGATTAATATCCATACCAGTGTAAATTAAGAAATTTTCTATATCATATATTATTGGATTTTATTTTTATTGGTCAAGAACAGTTTTAGGGTTTTTTAAGCACTTTAGTTAATTTGTCAAAGTAGATATGGAAGCAAATTTTAGTAAGCAAAAAAAATAATTTTTAAATCAATTAAATTTAATATTCTAATGAATAATGTAGAGCTACAATATACTAAAAATATTTGTACAGTACAGATAATTTGATCAGTTGCAAGCATCTATTTTTAAAGTCATTATATTAGTTCAAAACTAATTTAATATAAAAATTAAATACATAGATTATACATGTTGACAAAATTATTTTGGGGTCTAAAACCTGAAATTAAAATTTGAAGATGAAATTGTTTTTGACCTATTTTACTTAAAAGATAAAATTTTTTAATATTTTTTTAAAGAGATGAAATTATAAGAAACAAATTACTTAAATTAGATTTGTTCTTGGATATAAAATTCTAATTTGCTCTAATAGAGATGAAATAAGATTTTTTAAAAACTTATTTTAGTGGTATATATAATATAAATGTTTAACTATCCAATTTGCAAATTTTTTTTTGAAACCAGCTCTTTAATAGAATTGTTTATTTATAATTAAAAAAGTTATAAAAATTTTTTATTATCTTTTTTTTTGTATTTTATTTTATTTTTTTATTTTTTTCTTTAAAATTATTAGCAGTCTTATTAGTATCTGTATTAAATTAAAAGCATATACAAATTATATATTAAAAACTATTTAAATTATAAATTTAACATTACTTAGCTTTCTCTATAAGTGCTAGTAATTTTGCTTAAACCTATTAGTTTGAGATTAGGTAGAATCCCAAATAGTATTTACTATATTATATAAAATATTTTTAATTTGCTATAATATCAAACACTTTTGATATGTAGTTAATATTATAGTTAATAGTTTTAAATTTTTATATATAAAATTTGGTTTAAAATTTATTTCAAATATAGATAAGATTAAGTATATAGATATATATATAATATATAGATATATATATAATAATTTAATAATTTGTATATAAAAAAGTTGTATATTAAATTAGTTTTATTCTTGTAAAACTGATTTAGTAATATTAATTAGTCTAGTTAGTTCTTTGGTTTAAAATAATCTTATTATTATATTTTTTTTTAAAAATAAATATATAAAAATAAAAATCTAAAAACTAATTATAGTAAATCATTAAAATGGTTTTCAGATTTTTACTTTTACACATTCAAATTTAGCACTTAAGATTTATTTATTTTTTGAATATTAAGATGACCACTTTGGGGTCTAGTACAGTTTATTAACTTCTCAGTTCAATTATCAGGATATCGAATAGGTATCCTTTGACTTTGTTACATCAACGAGAATACAATTGGTTATACGTACAACTTTAGTCATTGTCTAATTAAGGGCTCTGCTATATCTATTTCTATATATAGTTACCCACTAATTGCTATACCTAGGATCCTCTTGTGGATCTCCTATTTAAATCTTCTGATCGACTTAGCGCCGTCAGATGCTTTTCCCAAAAGAATTCCTACTGCTAAAGCTCCTTAAAACTACTTTATTCTCGTGATAAACCTACCAGAGCAGTCCATGTTCCATATATATATCAACTAGGTTTTTCGGTAAAATATGCCCCAATCTGAAAACTGAAACTTGCAGTTTTTATTCTCGTTACCGTTACCTACTCTTTGCCCTTTACAAGGTTCATTTCAATCCTGATATCTACTTTCAACTAGCTTTTATACCGATCTCTCCCCAACTACCAAACCGGTTAGCCTAGAAGAGTCATTGTACCTAGGCTCTAAGTGCTTTTTGGTTTTACTTCTCTTGGTTTCAAATTTCGTAGCATCAGACTTTTCCTCTAGTGTAACTCCAGCAGCCAGGTTGGCGGATCTATCTTGCCCCAGGGTTGTTCGTCTGATTCTTCGGTCTCCGGTTCTGATTTTCTATAATATCATCAAAGATCTTCACTACTTCTAGCTCAGGTCTTGCCAAACAGGTTTCAAATATTCTGGTTTTTTGAATTTAGATCACCCTAAAGCTTCTATTTCAAGATGGTAATACCAAGATTACAGA